TTTTGTTTTTTTTAATTATGGACATTTTCAAAAATACACAAGTGTGTTTATAGTATGACATATAGTTTATATATGTGTGTTGTGTGTGTGTGTGTGTATATATATATATAAAATAACTCATATACTCAATACTCAGCTTCAGCAGTGAATCATTTTGCCAGTCTTGTTTCCTCTGTTTTTTTTTTGTTGAGGGAGAGGGAGAGGAAGGGCTGGAGTATTTTTAAATATATCCAGAATTATTATACCATCTGTAAATGCTTAAATATGTATTGCTAACTGATAAGGACCTTAAAAAGAAATAACCATCATGCCATTATCACAACTAATAAAATAATTTCTTAGTATCTATCCCCGATTATCTCAAAGGTTTCTTTTTTAGTAAGGTTTGTTTGAATCAGGGTCTAAACAAAGTCCTCACATTGCATTTGGCTATTATATTGCTTAAGCCTCTTTTATCCCAAACATTCTTTGCCTTGTCTCCCTCTCCCCTCACTCCCTCACTTTTTTTGATCATTTGTCAGAGAAATTTGTCACGAGAAATGATCTGCAGGTTGACTACTTACTTCTTCATGGTGTCTTTTAACTTGTTTTCTTATCCCCTATATTTCTAGTAAACTGGTAATTAGAACTAGAGGATTGATTATATTCAAGGTAAATTTTTTAGGCATGGATGCTTTCTATGTGATGATGTGCATATCACAAGGCACATAATGTCTGGTTGTCCCACATTTAGTGATGCTAGGATTGAGTAATGGATTGAGATGGTATCAGTCTAATCCCTTTCGAGTGGTTTTAGCAGCCATTGATACTTGGTGTCTACCTACATGATTTCATAAGGCTTGGCAAGACAGTGATTTTTTTTTTTCCTCCTAATTCTTTTTTTTCCCCCTGCATTATTACCTGGAATTCTTCTATAAAGAATACAGTGAATATTTTGTGTATTTTCTTCAAAAAGAGAAAAGAAAATCCAGAATCGTGTAGGGCCATTGAAAAAGTTTTAGACATGGTCAGATCCAAGTTTCACTACTGTGTTACCTGAGGTAGGGTACTTGCCCTCTGTTAGCCTCAGTTTCCTCATCTATAAATTGGGATATCACCACCTACCTTGTAGGGTGATCATGAAAATTAGATGAGGTGGTATACTTAAAATAGTAGAATACATGGTACCTAATCTACTACTTATGTATCAGTTTGACATACTCTGGTGTCTTGTATGTTACTGTAATGCTGGAAGGTATGCCACTGTTATTTCAGATGTTAGCAGGGTGACCCGTGGTGAACAAGTTTCAAGCAAAGCTTCCGGAATAAGACAGACTGGCAAGAAGCACCTGGCAATCTGCTTCTGAAAAAACTGACTAGTGGAAACCTTATGAATAGTAGTAGAATAATTGTCTAATATAATGTCAGAAGATGAGCCCTCAGGTTGGAAGGCACTCAAAACATGACTGGGGAGGAGCTGCCTCTTACAAGTCAAGTCAACCTTGATGACATGTATAGAGTAAAGCTTTCTAGACCTTCCTTTGCTGATGTGGCACAACTCAAAATCAGAAAAAACAGCTGCAAACATCATTAGTAATTAGAACGTGTAATGTACGAAGTATGAAAACTAGGAGAATTGGAAGTTGTCAAAAATGAAATGAAAGGCTTGAAGATCGATATCCTAAGCATTAGTGAGTGGAAATGGACTGGTATTGGCCATTTTGAATCAGACAGTCATATGGTGTGCTATGCCAGGAATGACAAATTGAAGAGGAATGACATTGCATTCGTTGTCAAAAAGAACATTTCAAGGTCTGTTCTGAAGTACAGCTCTGTCATTGATAAGATAATATCCATATGCCTTCAAGGAAGACCAGTTAATACGACTATTATTGAAATTTACTCACCAACCACTGATGCCAAAGATGAAGAAATTGAAGATTTTTACCAACTTCTGTAGTCTGAAATTGATCAGAAATGCAGTCAAGATGCATTGATAGTTACTAGTGATTGGAATGCAGAAGTTGGAAACAAGAACGATCAATAATTGGAAAATACGGTCTTGGAGATAGAAACGATGCCAGAGATCATATTATAGAATTTTGCAAGACCAAGGACTTATTCATTGCAAATACCTTTTTTCAGTAACATAAATGGTGACTATACACGTGGACCTCGCCAGATGGAATACACAGGAATCAAATCGACTACATCTCTGGAAAGAGATGATAGAGAAGCTTGATTTCATCAGTCAGAGTAAGGCCCACCACCCACTGTGGAACAGGCCATCCTTTGCTTATATGCAAGAGATGATAGAGAAGCTTGATTTCATCAGTCAGAGTAAGGCCCACCACCCACTGTGGAACAGGCCATCCTTTGCTTATATGCAAGTTCAGTTGAAGCTGAAGACAATTAAAACAAGTCCACAAGAGCCAAAGTACAACCTTCAGTATATCCCACCTGAATTTAGAGACTATCTCAGTAATAGATTTGATACATTGAATACTAATGACTGAAGACCAGATGAGTTGTAGAAGGACATCATACATGAGGAAAGCAAAAGGTCATTAAAAAGACAAGAAAGAAAAAAAAAGACCAAAATGGATGTCAGAAGAGACTCTGAAACTTGCTTTTAAATGTAGAGTAGCAAAAGTGAACAGAAGAAATGATGAAGTAAAAGAACTCAACAAAGATTTCAAAGGGCGGCTTGAGAAGATAAAGTATCATAATGAAATGTGCAAAGACCTGGAGTTAGACAACCAAAATGGAAGACCATGCTCAGCATTTCTCAAGCTGAGAGAACTGAAGAAAAACATCAAGCCTCAAGTTACAATATTGAAGGATTCTATAGGCAAAAAATTGAATGACACAGGAGGCATCAAAAGCAAATTAGGGTGAGCACTTAACTCTTTGCGCCACTAGGGTTCCTCAGCGGATTTGCTATGTGCAGGCATTGTTCTGAGAATTTGGGATACACTTGCAAACAAAACAAAAACCCTTGACTTCAAGGAGTAGGGCTGGGGAGACAAACAAACATCATAAGTAAATATTGTAGAATAAATACTAAGGGAAAGAGAAAAAATAGACCTGTATTACAGGTTGGCAGATAGCAGTTGGATGGGGGTGTACAGGATACAGTATTAGAATGGTCAAGGTAGGCGACATTGGGAAGATTAAGATTTGAGGAAAAAAAAACAAAGGAGGTGAGAGTTAAATAGATAATCTGATGAAGCTCCAGGCAGAGGGAGCAGCTAGAGCAATGGCACCTAAGGTTGGAGTTTGTTTAGCATGTTCAGAGACTAGCAAGATGCCAGAAGTGAGCAAGGAAGAAAGTGGTAGGAGAAGTGGTCAGAGAAGTAATAAAGCCAGATCATTTACAGCCCTGTAAGGACTTTGGCTTTACTCAGTATGAAATGTAAAGTCTTTGTAGAAGAGTGATATAATCAGGCTTTTGTTCTAAAAGACCGTTCTGTGAAATGCATCCAAAAAATAAGATGAATTGATGGATGGAAAGAGGAGTGGATAGATGGGTAGAATATGGGTAAAGCAGATTTGGCCATAAGTTAAGTGTAGAATCTAGGTGGTGGGTGTATGGTTGGTCACTGTTTAATTCTTTCAGTTAAGGACTACAGCTGGCCCTTAAGATGGCCTTATCTTCCTTCAGAACTCGCTATGGGACAGGACTAGATCAAGAGATATTATACAGGGTGCCAGATAGGTTGTCCTTTTAAAAGATTCCATAATCTCTCTCTGACAGAAGAAAGTTAAGATATGAGGAACTATGTAAGAATTCTTTGCAAGATGACTCTTTGCAGCCCAGCTAATAAGCTCTTCAATTTTTTGTCTTGCCTTCCCCTGCCTTCAGTTGCACAGGGCTCTGGATGCCTTTGTCGTTTGTTCACACAGAATGTGAAACTAACTTTTACAAGATATCAAAAGAATCTTAAGCCTTGTAGGGACCTCCTAAAGTCAAGAACCTCATCCCCTCATCTTAAGGAAGGCTATACTTACAACATAAAATTCACCTAAACTTACTGACTTCTTAACTGCAGGCAGGGCAAGACATGAATCTGTCCTATTATTGATGTAGAAAAAGATGATTCCTTACTGTCTCTAACACTTGTATGCTTCATAAGAGTTCTGAATTCATCTCCATGGCTTCCGAGGGGCCTTTAATCATCTACCCTATGTTGATTGAACAGACACCCTGATGATACAGTGGAATACAAAGCACAGGAAGCTTGAAATTTGGTAAGGGCTATATCATAAATGGAGCCCTGGTGGAGCAGTGGTTAAGAGGTTGGCTGCTAACTAAAAGGTCGGCAGTTCAAATCCACCAGCCACTCCTTGGAAACCCTATGAGGCAGTCCTACTCTGCCCTGTAGGGTCACTATGAGTCAGAATCAACTCAACGGCAATGGGTTTGGTTTTTGGTTTATATCATAAATGTATGAAAAGTTAACTAATAAAAGAATTAAATTGTTGAGATTGTAGAAAGACTTGGATATGAACTAACCATTTTACACATTTCTGTGAGTATCATACTTTGTATAGAAATGTAAGCCACAGCTGACGGGCACGTTGTCATTTTTTTCCGTTTTAGAAATGTTGGAAACCTCCACATTAGCTGCCATGGTGTCTTAGGGTGAGACCACCAGCCCCCTTTTGTTTGTATTCAAAGGCACTCCAATAATGTGTGTGAGCAGACTTTGAGATGCTGTTTGTTCTTCACACTTCCTGTTTTAAAGTGTTTACCCTTGTTTTTCTCATTTATGATGCTGATTACAGGGAAGTTGTTTGGTTGTTTACTTCAGCCAACTTTTAAACATGTAAATTATTTAATTTTGGCCTTGTTATATCTTGTGAGGACTGGAATTCTCAACCTCTGTCATGCTTTCTGAAAGCTTTCTTCCCTCAACTTTTCCAGCCTTGAGAGTAGAAGTTATTTTTTAGACCTTGTGACTACTTTGAGGGGATCGGGCACTGCATTTTCTGAACTGTCCTTAACTTAAAACCTTAAGATATGTTGTCACAGAATTGATGCAGAGTGACCTACATAAAATTATCGTCTCTCCTCAACCACTCAGCTCAGATCATGTCAAAGTTTTTCTTTATCAGATTTTACGAGGTAAGATTTTTTTAATGAAGGAGAAGGCAGTGTCACTGTATAAATGAATTGTTTTGCTTTTCATTTAAACTTTAACTAATCTGACCTTCCAAGATTTTCTTCTGCACTTAAGTCTTTTATCTTTTGGCCAAGGTGTATTTAGTAATTGCTATATTTGATGTTAGGGATGTCTTTTAAGGGTGGCCAAATGGTTCGTATTTATTTGGTGATAGTAAAGAAGGCCCCGTCTAATTCAGTAGGCAGTAGAGTGGATTAATAATTTAGGGAGGTAGGGGAGTAAATAGCAGGGATGGTTTGTCACAAAGATTCCACTAAACAGTCATTAGTTCTCGACAGAGTAGGAACACGTGGCATCAGATGACTAGATTGAAAAGTAACTGTATCTCCTAATAGCAACATCCATCCTATAAGCCAGCAGTAGTGGGCCTTGTCAGAGTGTAGGCTGGTATACCCAAGTCCAACTCTAGAGAAACAAAATGACCTTTAAAACAAAAGCAGATGGAGGAGACTGAAAAAAACAGCCAGCTAAATGTCTGGCATATTAAAGAGTGCTGACTTGATTGAGAAGTGATTTGGGCTGATGTTGCCACCTCTTCTGGCCATCAGTTGTGTCTTTCAGAATTTGCTGTTACAAATGGAGAATTGTTAAAGCTAAAACAGCTTTCATATCTAGTAAAATATTTTTTTCATGTAATTCATAGAGTTAAGACATTCTTTGTCAAGATTGAAAAGCATCTCCCAAAAGGATTGAAACACATAAGCAAAACTAGAATATTCACCTCTGATAGACTTGTTGATACCCTGAGGTGGTGGTAGAGGAGAATATATTAACTCCTTTACACTTGAGAAAAACATGATTTGCTGCTTTTTATTCAAAGAAGACTCAACCTTGAGGCTGTGACCTTTATGTAGCAGTGCTGAAGCCCCCAGTCTATAAGATGTCAGAGATTTTAAAAAGTGATTAGTTATCCTGGACAGGCTCCTGAATGTTGTCATATCATTGAGAAAAGCTCCCTTTGGTTGATGGGAACTATTTTGTTGGAGCAGGTTTAGAGTCATGGGTTGAAGAGTATTCAGTAGAGAGTTCCTTGTAGCCACACTGATGGGCAGTTCAAGGTTGTTGGTACGGTCAGTCTTAACTCTAGTGCCTGAGAAGCTTATCTGTGTTAAAGGGAAATACTCTTCTGAATTACAGACATTACCTCTAGATTGTGCAAACCTTGATGACATTTTATTTTACAGTAGCAAAATTATAGTTTTTTGAGATGGGACTAAGTCAAGCTTTTAATAATAATGTTCATTATGTAGTTATTTAGGGAACAATGTTAAATCCTCTACTCGCTGTTTCCTTCTAAGATTTTTCCTGAACCATTGCTTAAGTGGAAGGAATTAAATATCTACAATTATATCTGTTTGTTATTTCAGGTTTGAAATATCTCCATTCAGCTGGCATTTTACATCGAGACATTAAGCCAGGGAATCTCCTTGTGAACAGCAACTGTGTTCTAAAGGTAGCTTTTCAGTTTATTTAACTATCTGAAAAAAATCAGAATATCAGGGCAGATTTTAAGAACATGTTTTGGGGGGAAAAATATTTAAATGTATTTCCATTACTTTGCACGAAATTAACCCAGTTTTCTCTAGCGATATCACTAGTCATGGCCATAGTAAGTATTGTAGTCTTGGCTCATGGTTTCTTCATGATAGTTTGCATATGTTTTGGAAACACTGAAATTGGAATTACAATGTGACCTAAAAGAAGAAAAGAGAAGGTGACCTTTCTTACAGAGTGTTCCTTCATTAAAGGAAGTATATATATCAGAAGAAACATTGGAAGGCCAGTAAGCTTCTCCTTATGTGAGAATAAAGTATGGTTTTTAGGAAGATTGTCTGCATTTTTATACAAATAACATTTCTTTTTGCTGTTTCACTGAGGTAGCAAAGTAGAGAAGTAGAAACATATTTAAAAGTGAAAATGCTAAGCCAGAAAAAGGGTGTATGCACGTATCAAATGTATTTCCACAAAATAGAGTAGCCAATACTCAGTTATTCCTCTGCATGGAAATTGATTACAGGATTAATTATAATTAGTAGCCCCAAAATCTCAAGTCATCAATTTCAGCTTTACTACCATCCTCCCACTGTCTTTTCCTAGAAGGGCTCACAAATAGCAAAATCCACATATGTGCATTTCCCCACTTCTTTCTAATACAGATATGTATGAGCAAAAAAAAAAACAAAACAAACCCGTTGCCACTGAGTCAATTCCGACTCTTAGTGACCCAGTAAGACAGAGTAGAACTGCCCCATAGGGTTTCCAAGGCTGTAAATCTACGGAAGCAGACTGCCCCATCTTTCGCCTGCAGAGCGGCTGGTGAGTTCGAACTGCCGACCTTTTAGTTAGCAGCCAAGCGCTTAACTGCTGTGCCACCAGGGTTCCTCATGTATGAGCAGAACCCCTAAAATAGTGAGAGGTTCAACATATTTCCCCCATCGTAGAAATTAGAGATAAGGACCTCCATAGAGCATGTCACCTCTGTATAACCAAATAAAAATTCCACTTATTTCATGAGTGGCTACAATGTGGTGCTTCAGTCTACAGTAAATATTCTTAACATTTCAACTGATCTATTTGAAAAGAACTGTTTTTTAAATATTGCCTACCTTAAAATTAATTAAGACTGCCATTACTACTTGTTGGCAGTTAAACCAAGCATTAAAGTCAAGTGTATAAGTGAATTTCATTTTTATTTTAAATGCTTTCTTTAAACTGTGGGCCAATTCTCTGTAAAAGCTGGTGGATTGTACTGCTTATGAGTGAAAATTCTCCCTTCATTATTCCCTCGAAAGAGCCCTGTGGCTGTTTTTAACTCTAGAAGGATAACAACCTGTTTTCATATTTTTATGAAAACAACTGATATTGTAGTTCCATTTTCTGTTTCCACGAAGAGATTGGTTGTCCCCAAGGTCCACTAAAGTAACCATTCTTTCTGTAAGTTGTTGAGTTTATTGCCTTGCCACTTCACTTTGTAAAGAGAACTTGCAGCCCACACCTAATAACTCTTCTGATTTTTTTCAATTTAAAAATTTTAAAACCTTTTAGTAATTTTTTGCCCTATTCATACCAAATAAATCTTATGATAATTCAAGCCAATTTCTTGTTGTTTTGGATTTTGATTGAAAAATTTCACAAAGGTTTTTGTGTAGAACCTGTTGTGCTCAATGCCATTAACTGCCTGAAGTCTGTTTTCCAAATTGTTGTGCTGTTATTGCAACCTCTGGCTACAGGAATGGGTAACTAAAGGAAAATGTCATTTGTTATCAAACAACACACAGATCAGAACAAATTGAAATTTTGCTCTACTCCTTTGACTTGCCTTAGAGGCTTGCATTATTAAATAGCCAGTATAGAGAGCAGGCTACAGACACCGATCTTTCTTCTTGAATGTGCAAATCCATCAAAGATAATTATGACCAAGCATGTCTTTAAAATTAGTATCCTTTCGTATTGCAAATGTATTTTGTTTCCTGTTAAGCACAGGATGGATAATTTTACTGGAAATCTCAATATCTTTTTAGTTATCTGATCATATAAGCTTCTTTCTTTAGGTTTAGCTTTTCTTCCAGGTAGGTTGCCAAAAAAACGGTCCCAGATAAGACTAATATGTTTAACAAGGGACTTGCTTTGTAACAGAAGACTTCTGTTATTGGATGTTGGCTGGTTTTTTTTTTTTCATGTATATATAAGTATAAGAAAAAGATAGGAAAATGAGTTTAAGTTCTTTTCTTTGGTTTTGTCTTGCTTTATTTTATTTTAAAAGATATCCTAAAAAGTCATGGCCAGCTAGTAGGGTTACGTGTTATTTAAACATCAGCCTTTGGGAAGATTTGATAAATATACCTTTCTTCCTTTTTTTTTTTTTTTTTTTGGTATGCTTTCTCTGTGTGGTCTGTAAAGTTTTCCTTCATTTTTAAGTTTTAATGATGTTTGTTTCCACTGATTCATTGTCACATATACACATGAATTCATTTGGTGTGACTGGATGTATTAGATTCAAGACAGAACGAGGGTATTGTCAAAAATTAGGGGAAATTTTTGTTTCTTTTGAAGTGGTGGTTTTCAAACTTTTTAAAAGCTTTTTTCCAACAAAATCTTATGCTAGGACCTCAACTTAGAAAACAGATAAAAAGTGGTATTTCATTACTTATAATATTGATTGGAAAAGAGAACACCAGGGCTTTTGTGACTAAACTTTGAGATGGCCATGACTATCTTATTCTCAGTGCTCCCTGTGTTTGTGCTTTGCCCAGTATCAAGAAAATCTTAATTCCTTGAGATAAGCAGTAGTTGCTGCTGGTGGTGGTATTTATAGCAGGTCAGCTTGTAACCTCTGTTCAGTTAAACAGTCTTTGTTTTTATTGCTATGTCTTCAGATTCTAGCATACTGTCTGAAACAGAACAGGTACTCAATTAAATATTTATGGCATGAAGAAATGAATGAACTAGTAGCATTGATATTCTACAGTGTGCCACATTTTGACATATAACACATTTGAGTGTGAATTAGTATTTTAAATAGATATATACATGTGAAGTTTAAATAAAGCATGGAACCCCTGAAGTGTACCTCCTCAGAACTGGATTCAGCAGGACTCAATTTGAAACCCATAGCTTTAAAGACATTTTACTACAAATATTCCATAAGTGTGGTGGGTATAGTCTCTGCTCAGGAGGTCTTCAAGATATGCTGCTTTTACCTTAACTTCCTCTATAAGCCAGCGTTGGAAACAGAAAGCTTGGGTGTTTTTACATTAAACTAGAAATATGCATCTAGTTATTTTATTTTATTTTTGGTTTAGTTACCAGTTGAAAACAGATTAAAGATTAGAAGACTATTTTTAAGATATATTATTTTATATAGAAACATGGAAGTTTGAAAGAGGAGCCCGGGTGATGCAGTCGTTTAAAGCTCTCAGCTGCTAACCAAAAGGTCAGCGGTTCAAACCCATCAGCCGCTCTGCTGGATAGAGATGTGGCAGTCTGCTTCCGTAAAGATTTACAGCCTTGAAAACCCTATGGGGCAGATCTACTCTGTCCTATAGGGTTAATATGAGTCAGAAATGACTCAATGGCAGTGGGTTTGGTTTTTTGGAAGTTTGGAGACTTTTTCTTCCCTGCGTTCCTCCAAATGAGATCAGATTGTATATTGCCACGCCAATAATCACAGAAAACTTTTCAAAGTTCAGAGGTCTATCAAGGTTTTGCTTTGTTTTGTACTCTTGCATGTGCAAATGCATTTGTTTGACAATATTTTGATAATCTTTTCTGTTTAGATTTGTGATTTTGGATTGGCCAGAGTGGAAGAATTAGATGAATCTCGTCATATGACTCAGGAAGTTGTTACTCAGTATTATCGGGCTCCAGAAATCCTGATGGGCAGCCGTCATTACAGCAATGCTATTGACATCTGGTCTGTCGGCTGTATTTTTGCAGAACTACTAGGACGAAGAATATTGTTTCAGGCACAGAGTCCCATTCAGCAGGTATGATTTCACTTTAGGCTTTAGTAGCTTTCAGTTCTATTACGAATTTGAAGGAAAAACCCATCTTGCACGCATGTTTTTGGCTTATTCATTGTACTGTCTAATTTGCTTTTAGCAAATTCAGGTTCACTTAAAATTCAGAATATTATGAAGTTAAAGATTACAGAGAGATTCATTTTGTAACTTACAAGCATATTAGAGAGAATGTTGACTTTATTACATGCACTGATGCATAGCAGCAGACTCTACTGTAACCATTTGCACAAGTATAATCTTCAGTTGTTAGAGGGCCCGTGTTCTGTCTGACTGAGTGGCTCTGTCTTGAAAATGTGTTTGGTGACTTCATGTACTTACACTTTGTGCTTAGAATATAAATTTTGAGTGTTTATTTTTTTAAATTTGAACATTTAAAAAAGATTTCTAAACTTTATTATTGAGCTAAAATATTTAAATATGACAGAGAACGTCAGAAGCCAATTAAAATGTAGCTTTAGGAAAGTGTCCATGATACTTTGTCTGCTTTTATATAGCTAATTCATTAGTACACGTATTTTCTTGGAATAGTTCCTAAATATTTCATACTCAGAAATTTAACAATATTAGTTGTATTAGAACAATGTAATGATGATGAGCTCAGACTATGGAATCACGTTGGTAGGTTCAAAACCGAGCTCTGCCACTTACTAAGCTGTTAAACTTAGGCAAGTTACTTCTCTGTTCCTTGGTGTTTTTGATCTCAAACTGTTCTGAGGATTGTTGTGCAGGTTAAATGAAGTCGTAAAGCTGAAAAAACCTGGCACTCAATAAATGCCAGTAGTTACGATGGTGGTGGTGTGCCAAGTGGATGCTAGGGATATAGCAGTAAGTAAGACAGAGTTAGTTTCTGCCTTTGTGAAACTTTTACATGAGACGGAAAATAAACATAATTCCAGCTAATGATAAATTCTACCAAAAAAAATTAAACCAAGTTAGGGATAGAGAATGATGGTGAAGTAGAGCAGTGCTAAAGGATTCTCTGAGGAGATAACATCTGAGGAGTGATCCAAGTGAAATGAGGGAGCAACCAGGATGTTGGGGGAAAGTGTTCAGGTAGAGGGACAACTGACATAAAGCCTCTGAGGCAGGTACAAGCTTAGCATGTTTGAAGAATGACAAGGCCATGTGGCTGAGGAGCATGATCAAAGAAGAGCATATAGGAGGCGAGGTCAGAGGAAGGGTCAGAGGCCTGACCATGTTTGACTTGATAAGGACTTTGGATTTTGTTCTAAGTGTGATAGGAAGCTATCTGAAGGTTTTGAGGAGAGTGTTACGATTTGATAGATGTTCTTAAAAGGTCACACTGACTACTGTGTATCTTTGTAAATAATCCATACACTTGACCAGAAATGGAATCATTTCTTTCATGCTTTTTCTACAAATTGTCAACTAATATGTTAGAAATTATATATGCTGTGATCAACATTTAAATTTATTTCTCTGCTATGCATTCAGTGTTTTGTTCTGTTTTACATAATGTTGCTCTATTACACATAAAGTCAGAACTGACTTGATGGCACCTAAAGACAGTGCATTCAAGGAATCCCTGTGTGGTGCTAACCAAACGATTGGAGATTTGAGTACACCCAGAGGCCCCTTGGAAGAAAGGCCTGGCGATCTAATTCTGAAAAATCAGCCACTGAAAACCCTATGGAGCACAGTTCTACTCTGATACACATGGGGTCGCCACAAGTCAAAATCAATTTTTGTTTACATCTTAAAAATTGATCCTGGTGATAGAAAATTATCAGATGTGTATAATATGTAATCTAAAATTGGGTACTATTGATAATATTCACTTTATTGTTCAATTTCTTTAGAACTTTAAAATTATTTCTTTAAAAAAATATCTTACTACCTAGTAGACAAGAATTATCCTAGGTGAAGGGAAGGAAAACACACAATACAGGGGAATTCAGCACAACTGGACTAAACCAAAAGCTAAGAAGTTTCCTGAATACAACCAAACACTTCGAGGGACAGAGTAGCAGGGGCAGGGGTCTGGGGACCATGGTTTCAGGGGACATGTAGGTCAATTGGCATAACAAAGTTTATTAAGAAAATGTTCTGCATCCCACTTTGGCGAGTGGTGTCTGGGGTCTTAAAAGCTAGCAAGTGGCCATCCAAGATGCATCAGTTGGTTCCAGCCTACCTGGAGCAAAGGAAAATGAAGAACACCAAAGACACAAAGAAAGTATTAGCCCAAGGGCCACATAAACCAGAGACTCCATTAGCCTGAGAGCAGAAGAACTACATGTTGCCTGGCCAACCAATGACCAGTGACTGCTCTCACAGGGAACACAACAGAGAGTCCCTGATGGAGCAGGAGAAAAGTGGGGTGCAGAACTCAAATTCTAGTAAACAGACCAGACTTAATGGTCTGACTGAGACTGGAGGAACCCCAGAAGACATGGCCCCCAGACTCTCTGTTAACCTGGAACTAAAACCATTTCTGAAGCCAACTCTTCAGACAAAGATTAGACTGGACTATAAGACATAAAATGATACTCGTGAAGAGTGTGCTTCTTAGTTCAAGTAGATACACGAGACTAAATGGGCAGCTCCTGTCCGGAAACAAGATGAGACAGCAGAGAGGGTCAGGAGCTGGTTGAACGGACACGGGAAATCCAGGTGGAAAGGAGGAGTGTGCTGTCACAGTATAGGGAGAGCAACTAGGGTCACATAAAAATGTGTGTATAAATTTTTATATGAGAAACTAACTTGAGCTGTAAGCTTTCACTTAAAGCACAATAAAAAATTTTTAAAAATCATACTTCAGAGAATGCTTAGAGCAATCAAGTTGTGATATGCATAAAGCCCTCAGTCCTACTGAAAGCCTATTTTTACTAATTGTTAGTAATATGTCTGAAACCAGTCTGAGAGATTATAGTATGTTGTATATTTCTGTGTGTATATGTTCTACAGTTAGAACATATGCACACAGTATATTCTAAAGGTAGAAAATAGAGTTCAACTAACTTTTAATTATCTGTAAGACTATCATATCTGGTCATAAGCTCCCATAAAATGAATGTCACTACTACATTACATACAGAAAAGCTGAAGTAAAAATTAAGGAAGTGATCAAATCCTATATATATTGGACAAGAATCTCAGATGGCTGCTTGAAAAGAATGTATAGAGGAAAGTGTGAAGCAGCTGGAATGGGATTCAGATACCTAATTTTCTCTAGAAACACATAGATCTTGAGTTTGCCAGTCTCCCGTTGCTGCTGAAGGAAAACCCGTAACTATCTATTCTTAATGTATTTTGGGGTGAGAAATCAAGATCTAGAATAGAAAGAGTATAGCTTCTAAATGGAAGTAATATTTTCTGTAGCATTTTCTCTGTATCTTTGAGAAATAAATACCTTAGGTACTGTTAGTACTGTAGTACTTTGTTAAAATGTTTCTTATCTCTGGATTTGACCCATTTTAGGAAACTTTCTGAATCTTTCCACTTGTTTTCATAGCCAGCCATTTCCTTCTGCCTTTGGTGTGGTTGTTAGAGGTCCGAAAGTATCACCTACATGCTTTTCCCTAAAAGGTTTGAATAGAGATCTTTACTTCTGTGGAAAGCAAGCTTCTCAGTTATCAACGTTATCCAGGTGGCAGTGATGCTGATGGCTACCCCATGGTTTAGATAAGTGCAAAAAATAGCGCTTTATATGCAGCAACCCCAGAACCAGGAAAAGTATTTTCTAGGTTTCGGGATGAAATCTCACTGCTAACTGCGTTATGAAGTTAGAACAATTGTAGCGCTACAGTAAATTGTTAAGGTAGTTTGCTACCTACAAAGACTTGTTTGCGAGAAGACAGTTGTTATTGGTCTCTTTTATTGTGCCCAGCTAGCTAAGTGTGGCCTTAGGCACTGCTAGTTTTCTAAGTACCACAGTTTTCTGCCAGTGTAAGAGATTTCTAGCATGACTAGAATGTAAAGGGTGTGTATGGGCCCAAACTTTGAGATCTTAACTTTCCTTTCAGGTGTGAATGTTCTGAGTGTTTATTAAATCACAGCTGCCTGATTTGTGGATTAGCTACTTGATGAACCATCAGTATCCATTCATTATCTGTTTGAAAAGAACAACCATTAACCATCAGCTGAAGAGCAGCTCAACTCTGCAAGGATTGTGCTATGAGGCTATGATATCAAGACCCAGGGCTGGTAGATGCAGACTCCTAAATTACTCTAGCCTTAGAATACCATGCTTGCTAAAACTTATTTTCTGTATTTCTATCAGATGGATTTCTTTCTTTTTTAAATAGAATAGAAAGTGAAATAGAGGTTCCTGTCAGTTAATCTGGAACTTGCCCTAAAGTTTTTTGACCAAATTTGGTCTTTGTTTCTGAGGCTGTGATTTAAGAGTAATAAGAGATTGTTTCCATGAGATTACTATCCCTCTACATTTTGTGTTTCCTTGTAGTTGGATTTGATCACGGATCTGTTGGGCACACCATCACTGGAAGCAATGAGGACGGCTTGTGAAGGCGCTAAGGCACACATACTCAGGGGTCCTCATAAACAGGTAAGGGGAGGGAGGATATCTGTATCAGTAACCATCTGGGCAGGATTTCCCTTCGAAGAGAATAATGTGTTGAGAATTTTTAAACAAAGATATTACTTGTAGGTTGTTGTGGGGTTTTTTGTGTTGTTTTTAATATCATGACCTTAAGTAAGAAATTGTTAAATATTTTTCAAACTAACTAAAATATGGTCCATCCCAACGCCATAGGAGAAAGTGCATATTTTTGTAGCACCTTTGCTAATAAATGACTCCTGGCTTTCTGTCTTTTTTGTTTTATTGATTTATATGGAGAAACTTCCTGGGGTGGAGCTTTGACCTTAGTGCCATAATCTAGTACATGTATATCAACAATGTCCTTTCGATATACTGAGCCCAGATACCTGGTATCCCTTATTCTGGCAAGCAGTGTAAAGCTGTTGCTATTGCACTCTTGCCACTAACACAGAAACAGATGTGTATGTTGTTAGAAAAGGAAGTATGAAGAGAGATTGCCAGATTTGCACTGATCAGTATTACTTGCAACCAGCCTGATCAATATTACCTGCAGCCAGGCAAGTCACTGCTGAGAAGGACAAGATGATTTTTATCTCCACCCTGTTGATTTAGCAGCACTTTTTACAAGCACTTCCCTATTCTCCTATGGACAAAACAGCTTAATGATATAAAGAGTGAGTAAAGGGTATTCTTTTCTTAGAACAAACTGAAACAGAGAACATGTTAGACTTGAACAGGAAGACCTGACAACTGATTTTCCTGGCTTTTACCTTGGTTCCTTCTACATTGGGCATTTGGATGATCTGATTGATGGCACCAAATGACAGACTAAGTTTGACATTCCTTGTCACCAATTACCAGTCAGACATTTGGGCAAAGCCTTGCCTTCCCCTTGCAGTTCCTTCTCTGTAATTCTAGTGTGATTCCAGATTTTCATAGGCGTAAAGGGCAGTGAGGTAAAATGTGATATCTTTTAAAACCACCAGAGCTAGTAAATATAGATGTGGATCCTTTTATTTTAAATAGCTCCCTGACAGTTACATCCTTCTGGTGCATGTAGTTTAGAAGTACAAATTGATTTGAGGCCCTAACACCCTTAGAAAAGCACAGGAAGTCTTAACCTAGGGAAGGTTCTATGATAGAGGGAGCTAACCAGATCTGTTATGTTCTGTTTATTGGCCAGCGTCAGGAACATTGAACTAATTTATCACACCCCATGGTAAATGTATCCTTGGAAGTAGCAAAATGATTTTCCTTTTTAAAAATGTTAGGTCAGTAAATCTTGCCTGGCTAAAGGTAGCCAATAAGTAAAAGTGATAAGCATCAGACACTCTGGTGCCACCTTTCTATCTCTGGAGGAATTTTAACTATTGCTAATGGTTGCCAGCTAATTAATTCTTTGTGTCAAAGGATTGCTAAACAGCAGCAGAAAGAGCAAGACTTCCTGAGGAGTTTCCTTCCTGCTATCTAGAACAGCTTGCAAATGTAACTCACAGCACCAAAAGTCACTGTGCATTCCCTTGAGCATTCTTAGCAAGTGAGCCTTTTTCTACCAGAAATTTAAAAATGTGTTAGTTGTGAAAACCTAGGGCTTTCAATTAACTAAAAAACAGTATATATTGTATTACTTTCTAAAACAAAGAGGGATAGAAAGGAAAATTTAAAGTTCCATTTTTATTTAGTTAAATACGTTGAGACGTCTGTCAGAATCCTTTCTCACACATTTGTACGTGAATCAGACCAATGAATTGGCCTCTTAACAGCAGTGCCTCTTAAAGTTTAACATATTGCCTGTCAATAAGTGTACTGATTGCCTTAGAGGAGCACCACACTAAAAGTTAGGGGTAGCCCTGGCTAGTCTTGGTGTTGGAATGTTTTCATTTTGAAGAGAAGAGTGGTGGGATAAAAACTAGTTAAACACAAATGGAACTTTCTCTAGAATAGACCACATATGAAGCCATAAAGCAAGCTTAACAGAAGCCAAAGCATCAAAATATTACAAAGCATCTTTTCTGACCATAAAGCCATAAAAGTAGCAATCGGTAATAGAAAAAGCAAGGAAAAAGAATTAAACACATGGAAACTGAAGAACACCGTGCCCAGAAACTACTGGGTTATAGAAAAAATTAAGGATGGAATAAAGAGATTCACAGAATCAAACAAGAACAAAAACACATCCTACCAGAACCTTTGGGACACAACAAAAGCAGTGCTCATAGGTCAGTTTATACCAGTAAATGCACATATCCAAAAAGAATTAAGGGCCAGAATCAAAAATTAACCCTACAGCTCAAACAAGTAGAAAGAGAGCAGCAAAAGAAGCCCTCAGGCACCACAAGAAAGGAAATAATAAGAATTATAGCAGAATGAAGTGAAATAGAGAATAGAAAAACAATTGAAAGAGTTAACAAGACGAAAACCTGGTTCTTTGAAAAGATCAACAAAATCAATAAACCATTCACCAAACTGACAAAAGAAAAACAGGAGAGGAAGCAAATAACCCGTATAAGAAATAAGATGGATGATATCACAACAGACCCAACTGAAATTAAAAGAATCATAACAGAATACTATGAAAAATTATACTCTTAACAAATTTGAAAACCTAGAGGAAATGGACAAATTTCTGGAAACTCACTACTTAACTAACACAAACGGAGGTAGAATAACTAAATAAAAATATAACAAAGGAAGAGATTGAAAAGGTAATTAAAAAATCCCAACCAAAAAAAAGCCCTGGCCCGGATGGTTTCACTGGAGAATTCTACCAAACTTTCAGAGAAGAGCTAACACCACTACTACTAAAGGTATTTCAGAGCATAGAAAAGGATGGAATACTCCCAAACTCATTCTATGAAGCCACCATAACCCTGATCCCAAAACCAGGTAAAAACACCACAAAAAAAGAAAATTACAGACCAGAATCCCTCATGAACATTCATGCAAAAATCCTCAACAAAATTCTAGCCAATAGAATTCAGCAACATATCAAAAAAATAATTCACCATGATCAAGTGGTATACCAGGTATGCAGGGATGGTTTAACGTTAGAAAAACAATCAATGTAATCCATCACATTAATAAAACAAAAGACAAGAACCACATGATCTTATCAGTCGATGCAGAAAAGGCATTTGACAAAGTCCAATACCCGTTCTTGAAATAACTCTTAACAAAATAGGAATAGAAGGGAAATTCCTCAGTATAATTACGGGCATTTATACAAAGCCAACAGCCAACATCATCTAAATGGAGAGACTCTGAAAGCATTCCCCTTCAGAAGGAGAACCAGACAAAGATGCCGTTTATCTCCACTCTCATTCAACGTTGTGCTGGAGGTCCTAGCTAGAGCAGTTAGGCTAGAAAAAGAGATAAAGGGCATCCAGATTGGTAGGGAAGAAGTCAAAGTATCTCTGTTTGCAGATGATATGATCTTATACACAGAAAACCCTAAAGAATCCACAAGAAAACAACTGGAACTAATAGAAGATTTCAGCAAAGAATCAGGGTACAAGATTGTCTTAGGCTGGGTTCTCTAGAGAAGCAAAACCAGTAAAGCATATAAATATACATATATATAGAGATTTATATCAAGGAAACAGCCCATGCGATTGTAGAGGCTAGAACATCCCAAGTCCGTGGATCAGGGTAGAGGCTTCTCCCATCACGCAGCCGCAGAAGCTGGTGAGCCCAAGATCGGCAGGTCGGAGAGCAGGGCTCCTGCTTACAGGCTGTGAAGGTTGACAAATTCCAAGATCGGCAGGCAAGAGCACAGGGTTTCTCCTGATTTCACGTAGCTGCAGGGGCTCGTGGACCCCAGATCAGCAAGTCAGAGAGCAGGGCTCTGCTCACAGGCTGTGAAGATTGACGAATCCCAAGTTCGGCAGATAAGCTGACAGCTCAAGTCCCAAGAACTGGAGATGAGATGACAGGAGGCAGCCATAGGATCCAGAGTGAGCAAAAAGCCAGAACGTCTGCTTATATCAGATGCAGGCCATACCCCCAAGGAGACTCCCTTTCATCTGATTGGCTACTTACAGTATATTCAGTCATGGGAGTGATCACATTAAAACACTGAGAATCACGCCCAGCCAAGTTGACACACAATCTTAACCATCACAAAGATAAACATATAGAAATCAGTTGGATTCCTCTACACCAACAAAGAGAACTTCCAAGAGGAAATCACCAAATCAATACCATTTACAACAGTCCCCAAGAAGATAAAATACTTTGGAACAAATCTAACCAGAGACGTAAAAGACCTATACAATGAAAACTACAAGACGCTACTGCAAGAAACCAAAAGAGACCTGCATAAGTGGAAAAACATACCTTGCTCATGGATAGGAAGACTCAACTTTGTGAAAATGTCAGTTCTACCCAAAGCAATCTACAGATACAATGCAATCTCGATCCAGATTCCAACGGCATTTTTCAATGAGATGGAGAAACAAATCACCAACTTCATATGGAAAGGGAAGAGGCCCTGGATGAGTAAAGCATTACTCAAGAAGAAGAGCAAAGTGAGAGGCCTCACACTACGTGATTTAGAACCTATTATACCGCCACAGTAGTCAAAACAGCCTGGTACTGGTACAACAACAGATACATAGACCAATGGAACAGAATTGAGAATCTGGACCTAAATTCATCCACCTACGAGCAGCTGATATTTAACAAAGGCCCAAAGTTCGTTAATTGGGGAAAACACAGTCTCTTTAACAAATGGTGCTGGTGTAACTGGCTATCCATCTGCAAAAAACTGAAACAAGACCCATACCTCACACCATGCACAAAAACTAACTCAAAATGGATCAAAGACTTAAATATAAAATCAAAAAC